GACTTCGGCGTAGATGTCGTTCAACTTTGCGTCCTTGCCGTCGAACTCCCAACCAAACGGTAGGTCCTCGTCCTCTAGCATTTGCTGCATGGCCGCAAGCTCGTCATCGGCGCTGTCGTCGCCTACTGGTTGAGATGCTGATGTCGGGTCTGGTGTCGGTAGTCCTCGGTCGACTCCTCATCCAGGGCGGGCGAATGTAGAAACTCCCAACCGCCTGCGACTCTCCTTTGGATATCACTTCGCCGTAGCAGGCAGAAGTTGCTGGTGTCGTGGGTCCTGTGGATGCCCGTGTCGCTAATACCAACGTCGCGGGAGTCGGTGCCAGTGGTGGCGACTGCGGTATACTTGGTAGAGGTGGTTGTGGCTGCTCTGGTGGCGATGCCGGCTCGGCTAGTCCGGTTGACATTCGCTCGACGAGCTGAGGCGCGTCCGCTGGTTCCATCGGTTCATCCTCCGAGAAGCTCGGTAGCCCTGGGGGGGCTTGCAGCGGTGGCGAAACCTCCACCGATGAGGAAGACGCTGCTCCAATAATTGCTGCAGGTACGCTTGATGCTGACGCCGATGCCGATGGTGATTCCCTCTGCTTTTCTGATGGTGGCCCGTCTCTGATACCCATGACCGAATAGCCTGGGGCGTCGACTGCCTGCTGCTGCAAGCTGACGTCGTGAAACTGCGTAACGTTGCGCGGCGTCTCCGTGGCCTGCGTGGGGGTCTGGAGTTCTCGAATGGGGCGCACCCTTGATCGCTGGCGTCTGGCTGAACGTGTTCAGGTTCGCGGCGTAGTAGTTGATTGCCGTGAACGATCCAGTAGATCCACGGCCCGCTCTCGTCATGCCACGATTGCGGGGCCTTTGCAGTTCTTTTTGATGAGCTCGTTGGTCTTCCCTTCGCGCCAGTAGGGCAACGCTGAACGATGGCAAGATCGCGGGTGAGCGCGACGTGCCGACGTAGTAGTCCGTCGTAATTTTGCCGATGCAATCGCCTTCATAAACGCCACAGCCGCCATGGATCTCCTTCATCTGGTAAAGGGTTGCTGGCGAGAACTTGTCGCTTGAGTTGGGCATGGTGGCCGTGGGATCCATTCCCCAAATCACTGGCATAGTGAGAAACCCTTCGTAAACGTGAAACGAGTCCTCCGTTATCGAAGTCCGCGCGCACTGGCGCAATAAAGTTCAATCGCCTCCCGGGCGAGCTGATGGCGACGCCCCGCAACTCCTCATCTCGAGTGCGCCTCGCCTGCCGCGATGACGATCGAAATATTGGGTTGTCCCACGAACAATGCGAAACGTTATGAAGCGAAGCCCGAAACATCATCTGTGCGTAGCTCTCCCATGGGTCCGTTTTGTCTGCTCCAACTTCGCTCGACTGCCTTGGCTAGCTCCTCGGCCGTCCCGGTCTTGGTGATGCGCACTGCACAATGCCGCGTAGCTCCGTCTTCCATGGAGAGAACTACGACCGTTCATCGTCTCGCTGCTGGGGTCAAATAACTGAGCTGCGTCGGATGGCTCGAGCTCGAAGCCGATCCAAGTGAATCGTGTTCTCGGCCAGCTCCTCCAGCAAGCGCACGGTGCAATGTCCTTGAAGTGAGAGGGTGGCTGCTTCAAAACCGCCACCGCTCCAGGATGCACCTCGCATGGAGCAGTCGACCTGAACTTCGAAGTCCTCGAGCAATAGCCTTCGACATAATATTGAACTTCGCCCCGGTCCGCGCAGATGCGGGGCGCGCCTGAATTTCGCTTGAAACTGGCCGGTGTGATTCCGCGCCAATGCTCGACCCTGCCGTTCCCGAATCGGACTGGCCTGCGACACATGTAAAAGCTGGGGTCCTGGACGGGGTAGCCCTTATGCTTGCAGTCTTCCGCGTAATCTTGGGCCCGCTTCTTTTTGAGGGGCTCGGCGCAATCCCTGGCCCAGTGACCTGGCTTCCCGCGCCTCGGACAGTTGGCCGATGGTGATGGCGCGGGCGCTGGCCGCGCAGCTGCCCCTGCTTTCCCAGTGGATCCGGCGCCGTAGGTCGAGGTCTCGCGCGCAGTGGTGGCCGCGAACCTCTTGGGCCGCCCCTTCTTCCGTTTGACTTCCCGCGTCATTTGGAGCCTTTGCTGCTGGACCTGCCGCGGCCGCTGGTGGCTCCGCCAGGTGCTGCGCTTGAACCTGAACCTTTTTCCGACTATCGCCGCGACTTGGTGGAGCCCTCGCGCGAGCCTCAAGTCGTTCAACCGCTTCCTGGCCTCCGCGAAGGCGTGGACCTCGTCGCGCTGGCTGGGGTCGAGATCGTGGGCCGCGCTGGGTTCGCGCTGGTAGTAGCTCTCGTCGCAGTCGTACCGCGCGTCGTCTTCCTCCGCCCAATACTCCTGCTCGCAATCGTCCGTTGGCTCGTCCTCCGGCTCGCCTGTCAAGAACCTGTCCTCGTAATACTCTGCTTATTCGTCGACGAAATGTTGTCTCCGTACGTGATTCGGCACGCGGGTGGTGCTCTCCTGCCCGGGTGTGGTGACAGCGCTTCGGTCGCCTTCTCCTGGGCGATGTCCTCGTCTGTTCCGCGTCGTAGCCCCCGCGTCGGGGCGCGAGCCAGCCTCGAACTTTGGCGGGTAGCTCGAGGCCGCGCGTCTTGAGCATCGGTTCTGCTGCTCGAGCCCGCGAGAGGTAAGCGAAGAGCGCTCCGCTTCAGAACCGCTCGAGCTCGTAGAAATACTCCTCGAAGTCGCCCGCGAGCTCCGTGCGATCGCCCATCTTGAATCGCGTCTGTAGCCTATTCACCAGCAGTTTCGCCGCGTTCGGCTTGATGAGGTCGTCCGCTGTGGGATCCTCCGGTTCGTCCCAGGCCTCGCCAATCGGAACTGCACTGAGCATGAGAGCCGCTTCGCCTTCCTTCTTCTCCAGCGCGAGCTCCGCAATGGAGTTAATCGTCCGCTTCTCGTGCTCCTTCCACATGCTGAGCGTGCCGTCGAGTTGTGGAACTCCTCTCTCTGGTCGAATGTCTGCTGTTGCCGTTTTCGCCATCTTGCCGAAACTGAACTGCAACGGGTCTGTGAGATTGAACTTCTGTTGTTTTGTGAAGTTGACTTCGGGTCGTCCTGTAAAATTGAATGTCGGCTGCTTTTTGAAATTCGCGGTGGACTGGCCCATGGAATTTAGCAGCGACGGGCGCGTGAATCTTAACCGCGAGAAGTTGGGGCAATTAGCCGCTGAGTGGTTTTCGCACTCGCAGCTTGTGGAATGGTCGAACGATTTCGTGAAAACGCCGCCGGGGCATGGAAGGCCAGAGCGCGAGCTTGGCGAACCAGGCTCCGCTATCAGAAGAACTTATCAGGGTCCTCGAAGTCTTTGATGGCAATGACAAAAAAACAGAACGAGAAACATCTGGATGTTTTCACACCGCTGCGACGGTGATTCAAGGGCCCTGAAAAGGTTTGGGCCAAAGTGCGATCGGTCGGAGGCCCTGCGCGCGCCCGCTCGCGCTTGCAAAGCTGCGCTCGCTCTGCTATTCTCCTGCCGCGCTACATTCCATTAGATGCGCCGCGTATATCCCGCAAGGGGATACGTAGCACCCCGGAATTGCGGATACTGATAAGAGTGAGGTGGCAGCGAGGACGTCGGCAGTCTGCGAGGCTCTGAAAGATTCCGCCGCAGGCGCGTGATTTTTCAAATTTACACAACGAGCTCGCCAAGAGGCGCCGATTGTAGCGTTGAAGCAATGTGGGTGGGACGCGGGTCGGGCCGCGGGTGGGTCGCGGGTGGATCGCGGGCGGGTCGCGGGCCGGGTCGCGGGTGGGTCGCAGGCGGGTCGCGGGTGGGTCGCGGGTGGGTCGCGGGCTGGGTCGCGGGCTGGGTCGCGGGTGGGTCGCGCGCGGGTCGCGGGCGGGTCGCGGGCTGGGTCGCGGGGGAGACGACGACAACGCACAGAAAACAACAAATCACAATCGTCCGAACAGCAAAACCTCACTTCAGCCACGCGACCATGGATAATGAATGACCGCTCGGCCCCCTCATTCTGATATCCACCCGAAGAAACCAGCAAAACATCCTCGCTGGTTTCGGTTGCCCCGCGGCCCCATGGCCGCCGGAGAGCTTCAAACAACAGCCCCACAGGCCCCAAACATATACAGGCCCAATATAAACCAAGAGGGCCCTGAATCTGCCCAAGCGGGTCGAAGGCGCTGTCTCTCAAGAGGGCTCCGAGACGGTCCAAAATGCTCTCGAGACGGCGCTAGACGCTCCCAGAGTGCCCCCCCAGAAAGCCTCGAAAGGCCACAATCCCCGACATCCCTCAGGCGCTCGAAGCACGTCGAAGTGGCCCAGAGGGCGGCCCAAGAGGACCCCAAGATCGCTTGGAGACGGCCTCAGAGGCCCCCCACGCCCCACGATGGGCCAAGAGGGGCCCAAGACGACACAAAAGACGGTCCCAAAAGCACCCAGAAAGGGCCCGAGAGGCCCGGCAGCGGATCCACAGGGCCCCGAGTCTGCTCAAGAGAGCCCCAAGACGGCCCCAATGCCCACGACGGCTCCAGAGGCCCCCCCAGGCGTGCCAGGGGGGCCCCTAAGAGGGCGCCCCCCCCAAGTGGGCCCCGTCATCCGCGCAAGAAACAGAGGCGCACGTCGGCAACTTTCGACTCGTGCAGCTCCGTGACTCTAACACACGGGCCCGCACTAGTGTGCGTGTGCATGTATGCTCAGATAATGCATCTGTGTCAGCAACTGTATGCCGAGTGAACTGAACTTGCGTAGAAGCATATGCGCGAATTGTGGGCGTCTGTATACGTGAGAAAGAGAGAGGGGGAAAAGAGAGAGAGAAAGAGAGAGAGAGAGAGAGACATAACAACAGAGGGATACTATATATATATATGCAGGGAGAGACACAGAGAGAGAGAGAGAAGGAGAGAGAGAGAGAGAGAGAGAGAGAGAGAGAGAGAGAGAAATAAATAAAGAAATAAAGAAAGAAAGAGAGCGAGAGAGAGAGAGAGAGAGAACACAAAAGAAATATATATATATATAGAGAGAGAGAGAGAGAGAGAGAGAGAGACAGAGCGATCGAGTGATACTATATATACAGAGAGGGAGAGATAGAGAGAAAACAAACAAAC